TTCAAAATTAAAACTCTATTAGCGGGATTTTTTTCATTTTTTTTTAAATTACCAAGTTTAGTAATTTTGAAAATTTTAGACAGGATTTTAGTTTATATTTCAAGTATATATATATATATTCTAATTAATAATAAATTAATCAAATTTGTTTAGCCGTAAATATATTTTTAGTTAAATATTAGATCTATGGAATTCCTCGGAAACCAACTAACAGTACGATTTTCATTAGATATAAAACCGTAAGCATATAATAGATTATAATTAAAACTTCAAATTGGTTATAATTGAGCAAAAATAATGGATATATACTAAGTTTAAAAACATGGAAAAACAGATTATGGTAAGAATCAATTTACATGTGCAGATTGTACTTAAAAAAGTCATTTTTAATTAAAAATTCTGATTGGTTTAAGTTTAAGGAAATTCGTGGCTATATGCTATGCTTCAACATTTAGCTCCACTGATTATGGAATTATGGACAAAGCGTGTGGCAGCTATTTAGGTGTAGGATTTTGTACATATTTTAAATTAACTTTTTTAAATTTAAATTTAAAAAATGGCCGCCCATTTGTAATTTTTTTAAAAAAGTTACTAATAAAAGTAAAAATGAAATGTTTTGGCGGGATTTCAGTTTCTATTACAGGTAAATACCAAACCTTTTTATATGTATATAGATACCAAAAAAAGGAAAAAAAAAGTGAATTTTGGATTTGGGAATTGAAAATAAAAACCACTCCAAACATCTCATAAACATAAAACATACGAAAAGCTTAAATCTTATGACCAAACTGCATTTATGACAAAATAGCGTTTCGAATAGCATCTTCAGGAAAACAACCATTTTAGTTGAACAGGAAATCTGAAAGCACAGAAGACTTCAAAGAAAAAAAAAAGCACAGAATACATTGGAAGATTCAACTTCAAATATTTTCTATTTCTCTCTACTGATTGATTTGACACTCAAAAATTCAAGATTGAAGCTTCGGCACAAATGCGAAACAACACTAGGAGGTATAGTTAAAGGATGAGTTAATACTTGGAAAAGTCTAAATAAAACAAATCACTATCAGGACTAGTCCTCCGTAGGTAAACAATTTGCACAGAGGCAATTAAACTAAGGGATAACAGTTCAGGGCCACAACATAAAGCTTTATAGCGGACTTTTTCGACGATGATTTCACATCGGAATTCATATTTTGATTTTCGCAGGTAGGAAGAGAAGATAATATAATCTAACGTGATGATGATGATGAGTAAAAGGAAAATCAATACGGTATTGAATTAATAGGAAGGAAGAACAGGTGAAAAAACGCAGAATTAGGGTAAACTTACCGATAATTCTTGCAAGAGTTGATCCACAGCGAAGAGACGACGAAGAATTTTTAGGGATTTAGGCTGAAATGATTCCCAAATTTTAAGACATGTTCCTGTTGGAGGGGCTACCCCATTTTGGTCATTGTGAAGAAAAAATCATTTTTTTCTTTCGTGGGTATCAACTTTGAATTAATCCGTTAGTTAGACAAACTAGTATGTAACTCGTGCGATGGACGGACAATATTTATTTTGGTAAATGTTATTAATCAATAAGTTATAATATGTAGAGCAGTTGTCAAGTAATCATAAAAAATTTGTCATGAAAATTTATTATTAAAAACCTCCTTATACACAACATTATTAATTTGATCGACGGGCAACTCATCGTCCTTATAAACTAATACTTTCAACCCCTTCATATTAGTTACACACAAAACAATAGTATACCATGACTAAATATCGATTTTTTGTAAGAGCATGCCAAAATGAGAAAATATACGACCCTGACTCTTGTTTATGGTCCTGGTATACAAAATCATAAGGGGGAACTGCCTACGCTGAAACGTAAACGGAACCCTATCATCGGAAGGTATCATATTCATTCGAGGAATCAACACATTCTCACCTTCATGATCTCCAATCAATATCTTACATTCAAGCACATGAGTAGAAAACTCGGTAACAACCAAGCGTGTTCCATTGCACAGTCCCATAGAATGGTCCACGTTCCTTAATAACATGATTAGAGTTCCAATTTTCAAATGCAATTCATGGTTCGGTGTTCCTGAAAACTTGATGCTATTCAAGAACTCGGAAGTGTGGAGATTTTTCCCAAAACAAAAAAAAAAAGTTATTATTTGAGTGGAACTTCCACATAATGTCAGAGCTCAAATACATACGACCTTCGTCAGAATTCATCTTCGACATGTATTAATTGATAGACTCAACGACCTCCAAAGTAGGCGATAGTAGAGCACTATCATTCAAATGTCTAGAATTGTCAGTTGTATTCTTGAACATTAGATAGGTACTTCTCACGATTGTAGCAATTGGATCATCGAAGGGTTCCAGTCTTGTAACGTCTAGAATGTTAATGTAGGTACAACCATCGTTTGATCCTCCTGCAGGCCCATCTCCAATTCTAACAATCCAATCAGTAAATGTTGCTACCTTGTCACGCTCGTCCGAATCAGAAATGTACTGAAGACGCATGTTTTTTGAAAGTCGCAACACAATACAATCCCTCCAAATGGTGGAAGCATTAATAGTTGCATTCGCAATATCCTAACAACTCCCCTTTGAAATGACTGGAAGTTATTTGTCAGAAGTCTGCACAAAAAAATAACGAAATGAAAGTGAAAAGAAAAAAGAAACAATAAACAATATTATAACTCAATATTATGAAAAATAATTTTTATGATGTTATGATAATAATTAGGAAATTTACTCTCAAACATGCGAACCACTCAAAGTTAGAAACATAACTCTCTTTGCTCGTTCAACTTCCTCGATAAGACCGAAAGGTTGATCTATTTTTTGTTTGACACTTACTATGGATTCACTAATTACTCGTATGTTCGTCAATGGTGATTTTTTTGTCTGGGGTTGATATGATACTTATAAGCATATTGTATTAGTAAAAGCAAGCTTGGGTAGCTACTCCTTTCACGGTTGCTCTTCTGATATGGTATATTGCAGGTCTCCTGCGTTGGTGCATTTTATACATTCAGATTCTTTTCTGCTGAGTTTTTGAGTTGCAAATACACGTTAATGACAAACATTTACTGCTGCAGAGCCTAAACCACCTACTGCCTGGTGTCACACAATTCGTTAAGTATCATATCAATCGTTTTAACAACAAATAATATGGAAATAAAATTACATTGAACGCTAATGGTTATTTTTATTCATATTGTATATTTTTTCACGTGAATGCTAATTGTGTATCATCAAAATTGTGTATTTTTTTCACGCGTTGTTTATTACGTTTTTTATTTGAAAGACTGAGAATGTTGTAGTTGTTTATATTGCACTTTTATATCTTATTTTTATATATATAAAAAAACTATAAAATTTCAAATTGTGAATATAACATGTCTAATACCATTGAATGCTAATGGTGATTTTTATTCATATTGTATATTTTTTTCACGTGAATGCTAATTGTGTATCATCAAAATTGTGTATTTTTTTTCACCCGCTGTTTATTACGTTTTCTATTGGAAAGACTGAGAATGTTGTAGTTGTTTATATTGCATTTTTATATCTTATTTGTATATATAAAAAAAAAAAAACTATAAAATTTCAAATTGTGAATATAACATGTCTAATACCATTGATGATTTAAAGTTTGTTTGCAAATAAAAATAAAAAAATGTATATTGCCCATTTGTAAAATGTGATTTCAATTTTTAATCAATAATTTATAAATCTTATAGATAAAAAATTACACTCAACAAAATTATTTTCATACAAACCGTGATTTTATAAAATAATTTGAAAAAACGAATTTTATTTCTAATAAGTAATTTTATAAAATCTGATAGATATAAAAAATATTAGTCGAGAAAATTATTTCATAAAAAATGAGATTTTATGAAAAGGTTTGATTTTAAATTAATTGAAAACGTATATAACAACAAAGGATCCAAGAATCTAAATAAAAATAATTTGACAATATTACTGATTTTTTAAAATATGTTGCTATGAAGATAAAATACCCAACATCGACCATAAAAAATAATTTATGATAAATTAAAATAATTTGAGCGTAAATAAATTGGTATGTATAAAATAAATCGTTATAAATATGCTAACAGAATATTGCATGCACCATTAAATCCGCTAACAAATATGCTATAACAGAATATATCTAAGAAATATTTAAATACAATCCGGATTCCATTTTAATAGGAAACTATAATAATGTAATTAATATTTTTTATTTAAAATAGATTCTAAAATTACCATATTTAGTGTGTAATTAATGTTTTTGGCGGGAAAGACTTTCTAAAAGTGAAATATGTTAATCTTTATTACATATTGATAGATTCCGGATAATTTGTATGAACTGGTCAAAGCAAAGGTTTTAAACCCGGCTCGGAAATCGACCCGAGCAGGTCTCCGGGTCACCGCTTCAACCGTCGGGGTCACCGGGTCAATTGCTGAACCGGATAATTAATTTTATTTTTTTTAAATTATATATATTGTATTTTTGACATATAAATATACATAAAAGTAACAAAAATAAAAATTTTGCATATAGAACTTGTACATCAAAGTGCTAAAAGAATTATATCTCACAATAAATATTTACTATATCAATATATTTACATAGTTTTTATTTTTTACATAAAAAATATTTTAAAAAATAAAAAATATATAAAGACAGGGTTGACCCTGCCGGGTCAATGGTCCGGGTCGACCGGGTCAAGGATGGGTTGGCCGGGTTTTGACCGGGTTCATTGTTATCCGGTCTAAATAGTCTACTCGAACCGGTTCCGGCTCCGGATCGACCGGGTCGGTCTTCGTTGAAAAACAGTGGGTCAAAGTGAAAAATCATAAAACTATTTTCTATAATATCTTATATTTTTCCCTTCAGTTGCACTAAAATATTTCAAAAGTATATTTTTAATAAAACTATTATAAATTAACTTAGATATTTCTTACTATTAATTTTATCAATTGTTAGTTAATTTTTTTTATGTTATATATATCTCACTTTATAAAATACAATCATTTGTTTTTCATCTCTACTAGTACGTACCTCGCGCGGTGCACGAGATATAAATATTAAATGAGTTATTCACATGCTCTATCCGTTTAAATGTAAAAAAACAATAGAGTTATCATCTATTTTCTACATCTCAACGTGTTAAGTCTATAATAAACAATAGTTTATAATCTATTTTCCACCTTTTTAGCCAAAAACAATAAATATGAGCATGTTAAGGCCAGTTTGTAAAATAATTAATATATTATCTCACTAACACATTTATACTAATAAAAATTTGATTTTAGTATATATATATTTATTCTTTGATATAAGAAAAAATAATAGTTTTACTTATTCACATATAATACTTAATTATTATTTTACTATAAACTTTGTTATCATATAATGTCATTATCATTTATAAAAGTTATAGAAGTTGTACGTCTTTTTTTTATGTAATGAAAAATATTTAATGCACATTACTATTATTTATTTATGTAATTAAAATATGTATATAAATTTAAAATTAAATAGTGTATAAATATTTTACAAAATACACACATGGTTTTTTAGAATTTAAAAGGGAAGAAAGTCTTGCTCGTGAAAAGGAGCTAACGAGTTGTACTTCTGGCATCTAATTGACAACTATGAAAAGTCTAGGATGTAACTATGTAAGGTGTATTTTTGTTTATGTAACAAAGTTACATAATATGTTATCCTCAAAGGACAAGCAAATGGGAACAAAACAAGGAAAAAATTGGGACATATTTCATTCATTGATATGGTAACATTAATGTTTTGATAACTATTGGGTCAGCACATCCAACATATACATTTTAGCATCATATATATTCATATATAATCCGCTTGCACAATCTTTTTTCCAATATACTTGGCCAAGAAATCGTATCCATGGAAGTAAAGAGCTTCTATTTCTGCTCTATGGCCACTTTCAATCATGGCGGCAAGTTCTTCTTTGTAATTATCCTGCAAAAAAGCACAACTCTTTCCGAGATGTTCGGGAAAAAGAGAAACGTTTCTCCACATGAAAAAGCGAAACAAACTTGCATCTGTAGTTACATTTAATAGTTAAAACGATCTTACTAATCTTGCGCCCTATTGAGAAAGTATTTTGCGACTAAAGCTGCATACTTGTGACGCCTCCAGCGAGCATTTGTAGTTAAGAAACAAATGGGCTCTTTGTAATTTGTTTACTTACTAGAGTTTACCATTTGTATTAGTTTATTCATTTTAATGAACCATAGAAAATGAGCACATTTTACCTGCAAAATCTCCGAGGAAGACAAGTTTTTGGCAGTTTGATGATCACGTTTCTTCAGTGGGACCAGAGATTCTTCCGGTACGAATTGCTCTATGTCATCCTTGCGTAGTCCAAGCCACTTGACATTGCAAGCTAATTTAGGGGAAATTAGTCTAATAAGAGAACCGAAGCTGCAACAAAAAGGGCATCAAATAGTTGGGAAAATGTACCGTATCTGTAAGCTTCCAGACCCGTTGAAACACTTCCGTACTTGAAGGTGCATAATATTGCCAACCCAGCTGGATTCCTTCACAATGTAATGAAGACTGGTGATCAATGATTAGTAATCCACGCAAGAACTATGCATCCTAGAGATATATTGGTCGATTATACCAGTCAACAAGCCCAATAATTGGATGTTCGGGAAATTCTCGACTCATTCGATGAAGAAAAAGCCTGCTAGGAATTTCAACACTTGATATGACATTTGATATTTACTAACAACAAAGGACTGTAATTTATGCTTGTTGAAATTAAATATATATAAATCACCTGGTGCCAATGTCTGGATATCCTTTGGCTGTGATGAGAATGCAGGGAATTTGATTGAATATACGATCCTCGGCTAGCCTCTGGAAAATGGCGTGCTGTGGGATGCATGTGTTTCATATTTTTTTGCACCAGAAGCAGAAAATAGAAGGTGTGTTTCACGGAGTTAAGAAAGTGAAACGTTACCATGAAATTGATTACCTTCTCCACCACAATGATATATCTAGCATCACTCTTCATAACCAAATTTTCTAGCACATTTAGGTCTCCAGAGATGGCATAACCAGAAGATCCACAAGCAGAGCAGTCCACGACTTCTTGATTCGGCCCCTTCTCAACATATTTAAAATAAACAATCTATTCAGAATTACTTTCAGCTGCATATTAACGAAACTCAAGCTGCCTCGCCATGGACATTAAATTTCTAGACTTTACTTTCTTTTCCTACTCAAAGTAACAAGGAAAATATCAATGAAGAACTAAACAAAAGAAAAGGAAAAAAAAAATAAAAAAAATTCACACTTCAGCGACATCACATGTGCAACAATAACTTGCCTGCAGCAAGAGACGGCCTGCAACTGCTCCTCTGCTAGAAGCCATTATCCCAAGGCTATACCGGCTGCACTTAAGCAATGCCACCACATCTGTTTTGCATATAATGAATGTAAACACATATTTGGCAAATCGACTTCAATATAAAAATATGAAATCCTAAGGACCATTGTCAGGAATTCATGCAAGAAAATATGAGAAAATCTGTATATAGCAGCAAAACTTTCGACCTTGTACACTCCGGTAGACCTGTGATTGAGAAGTGAAAAGCTGAGGTGAATCGCATAGCAATTTGTAATATAACTCCCGCTGAGTTACTTTCTTTTCTTGAACCAGAATCTGATAACACATCTCCATCACCTTCCACACTTTGTACACAAGAGCAAGTTTCAAATCAGAAAAAAGGAAACAAGAAAAAACATAAAAGTTACATTATCCGCAACACAATGTTCACTATAAAATCAAATCAAATATACCTCTTATAAATGAATTGGCAGTGTTCTCATTCATCAAAGACTGCGTACAAAAGGAATGCGAAAGAAAAATCTTCGAGTGCTCGGTTAGCAACCCTCGACTGACTCTACTATTGCTCGTTTTCCGGTTAATCTGTGTGCAGATTAAGACCTAAATTCGTAAAACAACCGTGCGAATTTTTCTTCTTCCATATCATCTTATCAAGCATCAAATGCAATTGTACAGTAAAATCGAATCTATCCAAAATTTCTGGAAATTTTATCATACCAGAGGCAAAGCAGGTACTGATGACGCCGCTGAATTAAGATTTTTCAGGAAGTTGAGGACCGCGACTTCGATCCGAGCTCGAACCTGAAATTTCAAAAAGGAAAAAAAAAAGAAAATTAAAATAAAATTAACAGTTACATATAATTATAGTTATCGAGAGGATAAATCACGAACATCGGACGGAGAAAGGATATCGGCGTGGCAAAGGTGTTGATCTGAGAAGAAGATGGAGTTCTTCAAAAGTTCTCCCATTTTCTGGAGACGAAGAAGATGAAAAATCGTGGGTGATATTTTCGCGGGCTACTGAGATATTTCGAAATTTGAACGACTGTGTATTGTATTGTCAATTTGGCGTTAGCTGTTTGCGTTGCCTGGGTTTTCTTTGGGTTGGGTTGACTCGCCAAATCGATGGGTTCGCCTACTGACCGACAGTCTGAACCCATTGACTCGAGTTCCTAGTTAAATTGCGGGCTGGTCCCAACCCGCCGACCTGACGGGTTCGGCCCACTGACCGACAGCCTAAACCCATTGGCCCGAGTTCCTAGTTAAATTGCGGGCTGGTCCCAAAATTATACGCCAGTTTCTGGTCGAGCCAAAAAAAAAAAAAAAATTGCGGCAATTACTTTTGAGGAAATTGCACCCTGTACAATCACTTTGTTTTTTTATTACATAAATATAACAACTTTGTAAATATTAACATATTAGCATAATCTAGTGATTTTATTTGCACAAATACCACATTAACTGACTTAATAGGATTTAATATCCCAGCACATTTATTGAAATTAGTTACCTAATTTAATGGGATTTAATATCCCAGCACTTTCCATCTCTCTCTCTCCTTCTTCTACACTTCATCGTTTATTTTATTTTTTCTCTTCTTCTATAGTTCTTCCTCTTTAATTTTTCTCTTCTCCTACAATTCACCCTTCACGAATCCGTCAGTCGTCGAACCACCTTCAGCAACCGCAAACAGCCACGCCTTAGCCCAGCATCGCACGCCTCCTTTTCTGCCATCGCCGAGAGTCACGCCTCGAAGCAACCCACGCAATCCCCTCGAACAGACCAAGAAGCAGCCCTTTGTCCCTGTTCGTCACACGCACAAGCAGACCGAGATTTTGTATATGTAACAGGTATATAGCGTATATTTTCAGTATATGTTTCCATCCGAGTAATGTAGTATCCAAAAAATCCCACCACTGTGGCCCTTCTCAAGAAATCGTCCAAGAACAAGAAAATTGACCGCGTAGAGACTCCACCAGTGTGCCTGAATCTGTTTTTCGACGAATAACTAGGTGTTGTTTTCGTGCATTAAAATTTTGTACATGATATGATATAATATATATATATATATATATATATATATATATATGTTACAATCAAATATGAAAATTTACATGTTGCGAGCATATGTTGCGGGTATATAAAATATATACCAAAGTTGTACAACACACATATACATAAAATATACATGAAGTATACACTCGAGATTCTCGTAATTCAAGCCAGCGACAGATCGAGACACACATATACATAAAATATACTTTAATTATACAATAGAGTTTAAATCGTTTATCAAAATCGATTTCAAAACCCACATATACATAAAATATACCTAAGATATACACTCGATTCCTGAACTGCGGATCTCATTCATATCCCACATATACATAAAATATACTTAAAATATACATAAGTGGTGATCGTGTATATACTTTATCTTTCTTAATCGTATTTTTAATTTATTTTAAGAGAGAGAGAGAGGGAGTACGTTTAAAATTTAATTTATTTTCTTTCCATGCTAATAACAACAGATTCATAAAAAATAGTTTATATTCACTTACCTTTTTTTTCCAGCGAATTCATATATGTGCGTGATTTTAGAAAGGTCTCTTTGACAGTTATTATATCAGTTGCCCTATTTATGGGGAAAGACAATTATTAATTTTGGTAACCAAAAATCATGGGCAAATGTAATCTCATCAGTTACACAAATTAAGAGAATATGACCTTTTT